CACAACATCATCTTGCATACCACATTTATCTCTTATCATGCAATTTCTCATCCTGTCATTCAGATTCAACCCTAGCATACTCCTTAAAGACCGCATTTCTACAGCATTTATTCTACTTTCGTGCTTCTTCTTCCACACCTAGCTTTCACTACCATACATTAAAGTAGGGACTAACACAGCATTATGAATTACCATACGTGCCTTTTTGAATGAATAGTTTGTAATATAAAGGCATTAAGTCCGCCCTTTGTATTATTTTGTTAAGGATGCAATAAAGAATAAAGTAAATAAATAAATAAACTGCTTTTTCATGCACCTCGTATGTGATAAAACGAATCGTTACAGAGAACGCCTTGTTTCTTTATTAAAGGAAATGGGCATAAATGAGATCATGATTCTCTCATACCTTCACCCTTATAAACTAATAGCCACATATCTGATTATAGAAAACAAGCCTCGTCTCATTTCCAAGAGACTTGGAGGTGGCAGTCCAGGCCCTCAAGCCGCTCCACTTAATCTTCGGCTTGTTCGACTTATAAATGAATGATATGATGGCTACCAAGCTATTTCTAAAATCGTGATTAAAACTGTTATTTTTATAATTCGAGGTATTTTCCACAACAGGGGTAAATCGATCATAAAACTGACTAAATAGGTATTATTTTATCCGCTGTCCTGCGCGGATAGTTACCTTCTAGCCAGGGGGCATCCCATATTTTGTTTACTTAAGCGTTGTAACAACTCATCTTAAAAGGCCAATAAATTCTAAAACACTAAATTCAAATAATAAAGAGAGTTTACAATTCACCGAAAATGTGTTTAGTCATTAGTGTACGTTGCGACAGGACCTAAAAGATTTCCGACCCGCCCGCACGTACCGACAACTTTATATAACATGTAACTGCATTAATATTCTATTAAAAGATATTATATACATATAAAGAAAATTAAAATTGCTGTCTGTAATATTGGAATAACTGGCTACTATTAAGCTAATGGCGTTATTTGGATGGTTTGCATTTTCGCCTGCTTGTTAGTTTGTGTGCCCGGGACTAATATTCAGAATACATGAACCGATAGTAATGGAACTTAACGAGGAATAAACAGTGTCAGGAGAGTGTGCTTGAGTGATAGTACAGATGGTATAAAGTATATTTTACGTGGAAAACTTAAAATTATATTTGAATGAACGAAAATTCGATAAAATAAATGGTCTTTAATAATGTCAACGAGGCGTTATTTACATTTTATATAAAAATGTAAATAACGCGACGTTGATCCATGCGGAACCGAGGCGCGTCGCTAATTTAAAATAAATACCATTAGCTCTGTATTAAATACTTATTAAATTGGAATTCAAATACAAATATATCTGCAGGTTCCTTGTGTTGTACTTCTATTTCTAACAAAGTATGACCTAAAGGGTAAATGGGTCAATTCCGTTTCTTTTATATCACACATAGTTATTTCAGTAACTTCATATCTATATATAATAGCTTGTTTTGTGCTTAGAATATGTTTAGGAGGAACTCCGTGCTCATTTGTAAAAAGACTTAAATAATTTACCACGAAATTGCTCATTTGGGTTTTAATCCCAGCCAAAATATGAAACAATTGTTTTCAAGGTCAGACCGGTCGATTTTGAAAGCATTACCACAACCTTAGAAAAGTTACCTTGAGAAGGGAAATATCTATCTTCAGTGTGCGTCAATAAACATAAAATACTCTCGGCACAAGTATCGATGACTCGGCTGCGTCGTTGCCGTAAATTACGGATATATTTGAATATAACGGATTCGATAATAACCAGATAATTTCATACACACGCAATGACATCTTAACGTTTTTTATAAGATTCTTAACTTTCTCATTGGTTAAGCAAAGCGTATCTAAGGAGGAGCGTCTAGCGTGGAGCGATAAAACTGGATATATTGAAAACTAACGGGTGATTCCTGGATCTCAACAACAGCGCCACCTACCGGGTCCAAATTGTGATGAATATAAACCATCCCATGAAATCTTCGAAATTTGAATCTAGGAATCATGTTTGAATGATTCCCAGATTCGAATTTCGAAGATTTCGAATTCAAAGTCTGTAACAGACACCGGTAGAAACATTTATGTATTTTATACAGATAGATAAAGACAGGCCCGCTGTGCGCAGTTATTGGATCGTTGTACGCATATCGGCTGTATCTTTTATTTTACTTTTTACTTAAATTACTTCCATTATTAAAAAGAATTAAAGCCTACCTCCCCCTACTGCTGGAAAAGAGCAATTACATTCACTACAAAAAAAATGCAATTATTTGAATCTTAATGAAGTTGTAAAACATTTATTTATGTTTAAACAGGAAATCTTTCATCTTGAATAATCTTTTTAATGTTTATTACAATCAAAAGAGATATTTAATCGATTATAAAAATGATGGATGGACACCATTGACAAAATATAATGGACCTTGTGATCGGTCTTGAAAGAAATTATCTCCAAAAGCAATCCCGAACTATGAATTTTACAAATCAATTTTCAATATTGCATAAAACTGGGCGCCTTCTACCTAAGTATCAAGCTATTTATAATTTTTATACTATACCTAAACTTTAACGTAGACAAATGACATCAAAAAAGTAGTTATCGGTGATTAAAATTATGTACTAATGGTAGTTTCTCATTGGTAATTTTAATTTTATTAATATTAAATAGTGTCTATTTATTGTTGCTAAATTAATGCAACTTTTTTTACCCGACTGCCAAGAAAAGGCCAAATTACAAATTATAATCCGAAAGAAAATTAATGGGTTCTGTCTAGGGTTGCCAACTTTTTTTAACAAAAAAAACGTATAAAGTGGTTTGGATAGGAAAAAAATAAAGTATTAGGAAGAAAAAAAAGTATTTTACAAATTTTATGTTTTTATTGCTTTAAACACGTACTTTTGGGTGCTTTTAGCACATGCTAACAATTTTTGTTGTCTTTAAATGTTACAAAGCTTGTTTGACAATCAACATTTAAAATTAAATAAATAAACAAATCGTTTTTAATTAAATTTATACTATTTCTCTCTTCTCGCCACTTTAGATTCATTATAGAAAAAACTTTTTCAGTGAAAGCTGAAGTGGCAGGAATGGAGAGTTGGTAAGAAATATTTTTTTTATATTTGGTAAGCTATCAGATGCATTTTTAAGTATATATTGCCATTTTTCTACTGCACTTTTCACTGAAAATTCTTTATCATCATTTGTGAATTTTCTTTGGATTTCTTTAAGTCTTATAGATTCGGAATACAGATCGTCCAACATAATATTTAATCTGCCTTGTAATTTGGCCTTTGTAATAAGCATTTCAAAATGTTCAAATTTTACCTAATTTCTCAAAGACATGTTAGGAAGTATTGAAAGCCAGTTATCTTCGCTAAAATCAAACCATTTTACCGTATAATATAAGCTCATATCAATAAAAAGTGAAAAGTTACTGATACCTGTATTGAATGTTTCGGGTGATGACTTTTGAATTTTTTGTAATCTCATTTTTGATTCATAACCAAAGTACTTATCAGTTTTTTTTTCTCTAATTTGTTTCTTAAATTATCCATAATATTATAGACATCTAGACATCTATCATCATCAAACTTTTTTAAATCATCTCGTCTACAAGCAGATACCGAAAAATGACTGTATATTTTTAAAACAATATTTTCTGTCACAAATCAAGTTTTGTTTTGTTTTGTTCAATGTTTTGACATCTGCCATCTAATAGGCCTTTCCGATTCACGCCAACAGCGCTGTCAGCGCCAATAATCCGTTCCGAATCAACCGTAAGCGCGCTGATGACAACGCTAACGCTGCCCATGTTCGCGAGCGTAATCACTGTTGGCGCTGTTAGCGTGAATCGGAAAGATAGGTAACATTTCGTTCAACAATTATAAATCGTTAAGTACCCATGATGAGTATGTTTCACGCATCACAATAAAGGTTGAAAATAAAGTATTTTTTGCATACTTTATTTGTATGTAAAAGTATAAAGTATAATTACCAAAAATAAAGTAGGTTACGTTATTATAAAGTATGGTTGGCAAACCTAGTTCTGCCTGCTACTAAACTTAATACCTATATAACTTAGGCTATTTAGGCTTTCAGCTCATAATATAGGCTGTTGAACCGAAGTAGACTTTACTTTGTTTATAGTTTTTATTTTTATTTTGTTTTCTTTACTCAAGCTTGTTTCGGACTTTTTTAGTGCATTACTTTTAAATTGTCTTTTTTGCAGTCGGGTTTTTGATTTTTATAATTATTTATTTTATTTATTATGTATGTGGTGCCTCCTGTAAGTAATGGAATACTTATTTAAAATAATTATGATGTCATTCCATATGTATATAACAGGGTATCCATTGTTGTGAGATCCGAATAAAAAAATCAAAGTTCATTGGCTGGTACAATAATTACAAGGTGTAAAACATACCATATCACGCGAGTAATACTATGTGAAATAGCATCATTAAAGTTATATATGTATTTATGTTGGATATGGTGAGTGTAGAGTACGTGAGACCATTTTTTATGGTAAAGATGCGTTCATATCCTCAAGCTTTTTGAGAAAATTCTGTATGATGCTATATACCTCGCCATTAGACCCGTCTTGTTGACCCAGCAGCACCGTTTCATGACTAGGAAATCTATAGAGAGTAATTTATGCGAATATCTTGATATTGTTTACACAGGAATGGATGCAGGGCTACAGGTGGATAGTGTGTACACCGATTATTCAAAAGGTTTTGATAAAATATCTCACGAAATCCTTATCAAAAAACTAGACTAAATCGGTGTACACGGTGACCTCCTGCGTTGGCTATCATCTTACTTGCGTAATCGTACTCAAGCAGTAGCAGTAAAGAGGTTCCGTTCTTAGTCAACAGCGGTCACAACGCCTCCGCATTTTGATTCTTAATCGATGATGGATGAAGATATTTATATAAAGAAACTTAAAACAAACCCAGATATGGCATCGTAAGACATCAAAGTACAAACAAGTTTAGATCTTTTGCAATTTCTGAGGAATACAGATAAGCTTAGATCTTCTCCGATTCTGCGTAGATCGGAACAAAATTATTGATTAAAAGCTGAAAGAACACCGGGTTAATTGTGATCTGGATGTGTATCGGGATGTCAAACATCTTAGACCCCTCCCCATCCTGACAATTCGTGCTGCAATATACGTGAACCATCTGGATTAAAAATAGTTGACTGAGAAAACTCCGTCAAATTAGTTTTATTTAGTCTAGGTATAATTTATTTTCACCGAGTACGTACCACCACTTTACGATTTTAAGCAGATCGGTCTTTTTTTTTCTGAAAGTGTAGGCCCTGCCGTGCGGCCTTTAAAGTTCAACTTTACAGTTCCTGAAAACCCTTGAGCTATTGAGTGCAATGACTCTGCTGCATATATATTGAAGTCTCGAGGCACCCCGACCCCTGCTTTTGGAGAGAAGCTCCTCTAGCTATGGGGGAGGGCTCGATGTGATTCAAGGACCCCTGAAGGAGGTACGAACCTCGGCTTGAAGAACTATCGTATTGGGGGGTAACGGGCCGTAACCAAAAGCGCCCCGTATCGCTGTTGTTATACCTCGGTTACGGGTTACCCGGGTTACGGGTAAGGTACGGCTGTGTAGATGACGGTATGCTCTAGTGGTCTGTCGTGCCAGTGTAGTGTCTGATTGTGCATGTGTTGTGTCTCTACGGGTTCCCTTTCCTGAGATCGAACTATTCATGGAGGTGATCTCGTCATCAGGATCAAGAAGAACGTTTTTGGGACATATCCCGGTGGGGACAGCATCCCTCTCTGGGGAGTACGAGCTCGCCTCCAACACCAACGGATTTTGGTGCTCTTTAATCGAATCGAAGTATCTTAAGGATAATTTCTTAAGATACGAACTGAGAGTGGGCATATTGAGGTCGCGGTGGAAATCCACATACTTCACATAAAATGGAGCTAGGTCGGTCTTCAATTATATATATATATATATATATATATATATATATATATATATATATATATATATATATATATAGATAGATAGATAGATAGATAGAATAATGAATAGATCCCTTATATAGATGAAATGACGCGATTTCCTAGTGTTCTCGCCAGACGAAGAAACTCACAAGAATCTCCTGCGCCAAATATTTAATAGACTCAAGAAATACGGAATGGTAATAAACACAAACAAATGCGTATTTGGGGCAAAACAATTAACCTTTCTGGGCTACACTGTCTTAACGCATTGACTCAAAAATCGAAGCTATCCAGAGCTTTCCCATACCGAAAAACGTAAAAGAGCTTTGACGCTTCCTAGGGATGATTAATTTCTACCGGCGGTTTCGGTACCTGGCATCTTCAACGCGCCGTAGCGAGGGAGCTACTCACTGAACCTATGGCGCGACCATCTAGGTGCGGCCACGCCCCTCACCTCAATCAGGTTGCGCGCGAGCGGGTTCCCCTGTCAGTCCGCAGCTGCATCCGACGCAGGACGTGTGCCACTCTCGCGCCGGTCCGGCATAACGCTTTCGTCCGCTTAATTGCAGTCTCATTGTGCATAATATCAAGTTCTGTATAAATTCTATATTTTGTTCTGTGCTAATTCTTCCTTTCTTTTGCTGACACTGTGTATGCTATCCGCCTTTCTAAATTCTCTTTGTGCTTGTGGACAATAAACATCTCGTGTGTTATATGTGGTGAGTGGTGACTTTTCTTTACATACGTCACTACATAGCTTACTAGCGATCTTCCCCTGCTTTAGTGATATCTGGATTTTACAACAGCGCCACCTACCGGGTCCAACTATTCCGTTAACCTTCTCAGAAATGCAAGCAATACGTTAACGGTATGGCAGCGCAAAATACGAACAAACAAATTTTTTTTTTATATATCATGGCGGCTCCACATTATCGCCGTGAATTCACGGCACAAGTCGTTCCCTCCACATTCAGGGGATGGTCAATCTCGTTCGGGAAAACCCGCCGCGAAACGGACGTAGAAGTTGCTGTTGCAATAACTTTATTTATTTATTATATTTTAATTATATATTTTATACGTGGTGGAGCCATACTGCAGTTATATTAGTAGTATAGTTGTAGCACGAATGGGTCGGCTCGACCGGGGAAGGACCACACTCTCACAGAATACCAGTGTGAAATAGTAGCTTAATGCTGCTGTGTTTCGTATGGTGAGTGTAGAGAACCGGAGACTCTTTTTACTGGAAACGAGGCATTTCATTTTAGTCCTCAGGGGTGACAACGCATCTGCATTTTGATTTGTAATCGAGGATAGATGTAGATGTCTACGGGCCGCAGCAACAACTTACCATCAGGTGAACCGTCTGCTAGTTTGTTACCCTGTCCTATTAAAAAAATTGCTGTGGCAACATACTCGTATCACTATTTAGACGTCCAAAACAAGAAATTTATTAAAATGCGTTGAGAAAAAAAAGAAGATGGTGTATGACTAAATTAAATCGTCCGTTCGCCTTTGTAGTCCAAAACGAACTGGCACGGTACCGTACCGGGTGCCGTGAATTTGAATGTGTAGGTACGCGTGAACCCTTTGTTGCTAGACAAAATGCAATTTCGATAGATTTTAATTAATTTATTTATTTAATTCAAAATTTTTGTTTTTATTTTTATAAAATGTCAGTGCTATAAGTTTCTACTCCGTTCACATGCTACACTACATTTTCCAGACGGTAAGAAGGTCATCCACATTCATATTCATAGATATATCGGCAAAATTTAGTTCCCAATCAAAAAATGGAAATAATAACCATTCCATTTATATCTAGAATACAAAGACTGAAAACAATAGACATCTGGGGTGTGAAACAATTAGAACATCGATCGCAAATACACTTGGAAGTGAAAGATAGAGGTTTAACAGGATTCTAAGCCTTCGACGCTTTGATTAATTATTGTTTAGAAAATACCAACCCACTCTATCTATTCTTGAGGACCTATTCACGTGGCGTAATTACTTAAATTTAAAATAATCAAAAACGTGGGGTAGTTACTTAAATTTAAAATTATTTAATTGCATGCCTTAAGCGTAGAGCGCGTAGGTATGTTAGTAGTTAGGTTGTACCAGTTCTGGCGCACTTGTAGAAAGGTTGTACCAGTTCTGGCGCACTTGTAGAAAGGTTGTACCAGTTCTGGCGCACTGAGTCAGAAGTGGTACAAGTACGACGTTTGTCGACTCACGATCCTAAAAAAAAAAAGGTTTTGGCATGCTCTGATCACGAATCTGCGGTCCATTTTTGCGTAGGATGCACGGTTCCGGAGATGCAATCAATTCACGGTTTATCCGCTGCCTCAACCGTCATTAGCGCTCCATTGTCCTTATCTACTTATCTATTGTTGATTGACTACCGTCATTATCTATTATTCGTCAGCGTGTGGGTCGGCTTATGCCGTATTATACTCCTTTGTTCCTATCTACAACACTAATCTGAATCATCAATAAAACACATTACCTAATTTTGTTAAAATTTTTATTTATGAAATACAAAATCTTATTACGTATTATCTATAAAATAGGAGCGAAACATCTCATCCACTAAAATATCGTTGTACAATGTGTTCTCTGTAAATATACTCGTAAAACTATGCATTGAACATCCCTGAAACTTATATAGCAAATACATTAAGCAATATTCGCCACAAACTGAAGTCCACTCATTCTGAATCCTATCAACATTCCAGTTCCATCTTTTACAATTTCTTTTAAAAAACTCTAGATGATATCGTACAGGTGCCCGTCCGAATGAATCAAAATATTGACCGACGTCATTCGTATCGATATATAAAGCTACCCAATGTGACCCTGGTTTATCATCTGTATCCAAATTGCATATTATATACGTTGGTACGTGGGTGTACATGGGTAGTTTATTGGCAGCATAAACGTTATTTTCTAGAGTGGGGTGAATCTTTTTCAGATGTTGTTGTACATCTAGTGTATCCATAATATTACTGCTATTAGTAGATTATTACAGTACCAATCTACTCAATGACTAATATAGGAATGATCAATTATAGTGATATCTAAATATTAAATTGCTTTCTTTGTGTTATACAAAACGTATTTGAGTCACCAATACACTGAACAAGACACGACAGGAAGGACGTAGGAATGTAGAGATAAACAACAGAATGTAAGGTAAGCTTGTTGACGCATAAAGATACTATCAATTCTACTGCAGAAATTCTTTAGATTAGAATTATAAGCATAAGAAGCTGCCTCACGAAACCATTTAATTCGTGAGGCAGCTTCTTATGCAGCCCCACCCCCTCTCGCTATCGTGTCCGCAGGCCGAGAAACTCTCTCTCGGACCCGCCTAATAAACTTTCAAACGACCTGAACTGTCTCCTGGCGGCTCAGGCCAACTCTAATTAAATAAAATTATTGTAATATCTAACATTAATTTGCCTTCGTAGGCACTCCCTCAGCGGCACTTAGCCGCCTGCGCCCTCTTTTCCCAAAAGAGGGTCGCTCATGATAAGGCACAATAGAGCGTAATCAGCCGGTTGCCTGTCCCCAAAGGCGGTTTTTAGAGGGTATCACTTAGGGTCCCCGGTAGGACAGTGAACCCCTCATAACCACGATAGACCGGCTATCGTGGTATGCGTAATGCATTTTCCGCCTCCCTGCGTATAGGGTAGCCCTTTAATTGCTTCGGGCGCAAAAAAAAAAATTAGAATTATACTCACTGGTACTATATAAGACTAAGCAACTGCAGTCATGGAGTTAGTGTATGGTCGTTTGACCGCAGTGGATCTATCAATACTACGTTTGTGTTACTTCAACGCATCAAAGGCCATGGATGTAAGTGTTTATTCTATTGACAAACTTACTTTTCTTTCTGTTATTTTCTTACGTGTGTATGATTTAGTGTTAACAAATTATATTTAAATATTATGTGTGTGTATATGGTTAAGCCGTGGTAGCTCAGATGGTTAGCGCAAAATGTAAACTTCATAGTACACGTCCCGGGTTCGATCCCCGCCGGCACCAATTAAATTGTTAATTACAATTTTAAGTGCTGATTTACCACGTGCTCAGCGGTGAAGGAAAACATCGTGAGGAATGCATGTCTGAGAAAATTTCGAAGGCATGTGAAGTTTGCCAACACGCATTGAGGTATCGCAGCGAACATTTCCTAGCCCTAAAACCCTCTCAGAAATGAGAGGAGGCCTATGTTCAGCAGTGGACTTTAATAGGTTGTAACTTTAGCTTTTTTAACTTTTATGATTAAGTGTTAACAAATTGATATTAACATGATAACTGTGTTGTTGCAGAAATCATTGAGCTTCGATGAAAATACCTATAAACACTAAAACTACTCGCCATTCTCCCCTCAAGAAGAGAGTGATGACATCGTCATTAATAATAACACATGCGATGGTGGAAAAAGAAAATCGCAATCGATTGATCATTTTTTTGAAGCTGAATCAAAAATAAAAAAGAGGAAGCTGTTATCATCAACCGTAGCACGAGCCGCTAGAGATGGTGTATCATACATTTCTACTAATTCTGACGACGGAGACCAAGCGACGCATCTCATCAAAATTGAAATGTACGATATGAAGAAGCTATCCAAGATTCCAACTACTGATCATTGGAAACATGCTTCCACGAGGATTAAATATTACGTAAAGACTAATAAGGATAGCATCTACGACAACACAAACGCCCTCGTATACAATATTACAAAGACAATAGCAGAAAGTGAAAAAGTTAAAAAATACTTTTTTAACAATGACAGTCATTAGCTGATCATTAGTGAATGTGATTCTGTTTACTTAAATTACTTCCGTGTACTCATTATATTCTATTTCTAATCCTTTGTTAGACTTAAATATCGGACATTATTTGAAATTTGGGTATCAGTTGGTCTACCAACACTGAACTGTTACTTACTCTGCTACCTATTTTCTTCTTTACTATAAGGATGGCAAACTTCAGTGAAGTGTGCACCAGTGCTTTCTTCTCCACAACCATGGAAGAGAATACGGAACTATTCAACAGCGAATTAAATCAGGAGTTGTCTAAAGTTTGTGATGAAATGGAGAAGGATCAACAGTTCGATTCATCGTATGATGATGAGTTGTATAATCACTGTGCGATGTTTGAAACACAGTTTAAGTAAGTAAAATAAACATTCATTTCGATCATAATTTACACAATTTCTTGTACAGTTTTTAATAAATTTAAACATTTTAGTAGTCAACCACTACAACTTGGAAGAGGAACGAAGCGAACGAGCAGCAAAGAACCCAAGATCATCAAAAAACCAACAACGGAAGCAGAAGCGCCTACCTCTGCAGGGAACAGTATCAGTAACGAAGATCAAGTGGAATGTCTAACGTTTCATATATTTATCAAGAAACGGTATTTAGCTAATCATTTTAAAAGTAATGTTCACAAAAATAATCTTTTAAATTCACATAATTCTTTATCAAACGTTAGTGTTATTGAATCTGCTTTTGGAAATAGGATTTTAACTTATAAAATCAAGAGTAGAGTAGATAGTTCGACATTGGTAAATTTTGAAACTCCTGAACTATTTTTAAATTCTATTAAAGATGATATTTTATTTTTAATACAAGAGTGTATTCATCAACACATAATTTTTAAAGTAAACTTCATATTGCATGCTGATTTTGTTCAACAAACTAAAGATATTCATGATACGTTCGATTTTCAAACGCTTAACTATATTATTTGTCAAGGAGATGACTTAAATATTTTTTTTCATCTTTAAATGATACAATTACTACTAAAATTAGTGCATTTGAAAAAAAAGATAGTGGATGGAGTCTAAAAAACATAAAATCTATAGACATGAATGTTAATAAATTTAACCCCCTACGCGGTACTTCATACATAGATCTTCCTCGTGACATAAAATTAAAAAAGGCTGTTATAAATGTAAAAAGCAAGGATTATTTTTGTTTTAAATGGGCGTTACTCTCGTCGTTATATCCCGTAAACAAAGACGCGGATCGTGTATCATCGTACGATTAGGTGTATCATATATGGTACAGTAGGTCTATGTATGAGCACAAAATACCTAAGTCAATTTACATATTATTATATTAGCTTTTTATTTATCTTTTTGTGTTTTATTGTTTTAGGTCATTGACATTACATGAAATTGCTACAGTTCTTGAGGAAGATGATGATTTTAGCAACCAGAGACAAGATTTTGATATTTTTTTACTTCCACCTGACACCGCCAATGATTACCAAACTGACGAGGACTCGGGTGAAGAAGATAACGTCAGCATAAATAATTTGCCTGGAAGTTTGCTTCGAGCTCCAGCGGAGCTTGCTGCCTCAACCTCAATGGAAAAACCAGAAACTGAGGACCAAACCCCTCCCGAATTTCAAGAACCTTTAAAAAAACGTGTCATGAATTACAATTGGCGAAAACGAGACTTGCAGCTAAGACCTATTGTTTGGAAACCCCTTTATCATACTCCTATTGAAAGAAGCCCGATAGAATGGTTTTCTTTATTATTTTCAGAAGAAGTATTTGAGATGCTTACTATTGAAACCAATAGATACTTAGCACGTAAGCTTCTCTCTGCTGACGTCAAGATTGAAGAGATGAAATGTTTGGTAGGGATTTTGTTAGTCAGTGGCTACTGCCAAGTGAGCAGAAGAAGAATGTACTGGGAAAATGCATCTGACTCAAGAAATAGTTTGATTGCTTCAGCCTTGTCTCGAGATAGATTTACACTAATTTACTCTAATATTCATGTTGCTGATAATCTAAATTTAGATACATCCGATAAATTTGCAAAAGTTCGTCCTTTATTAAAAGTTTTAACTATGAGGTTTCTTGAGCACTGTCCACATAAGGAGAATCATAGTGTTGATGAGGCTATGGTCCCATATTTTGGTCATCACGGCTGCAAACAGTTTATTAGAGGCAAGCCTATAAGATATGGATACAAATTATGGGTTGGTGCAACATCAGGAGGTTACATTGCATGGTTTGAACCATACCAAGGTGCTTCTACATTTACGAATGCCCAATATTCCCAGCTTGGTCTTGGTGCAAGTGTGGTTTTGTCTTATGCAGATCAACTAGCAACATTAGGCTATGGAAAAAACTACCATCTCTTCATAGATAACTTTTTTTACCGGTTTGCCTTTGGTTCATGAACTTACTGAGAGGGGATTTCGTGTAACTGGTACTATCAGAGAAAATAGATCTGGAAAGTGCCCTCTATTAAGTAACAAAGAAGCAAAGACAAAAGAAAGAGGCTTTTATGATTATCGCATATCTGATGATATTATAATTTGCAAGTGGCATGACAATAGTATAGTGTCAGTATGCTCTAATGCAGTTGGTGTTGATCCTGTCCACAAAACTGAACGCTATTCTCAGCAACTAAAAAAGAAAATATCTGTTTCTCAACCTCATCTCATTCAACAATACAATAAAAATATGGGTGGAGTAGATTTATCAGATCAGAATATATCGTCATTGCGAACTAGCATTCGAGGAAAAAAGTGGTATATGCCTCTGATTCTCCATTGTATAGACATGTCTGTACAAAATGCATGGCTGCTGTACAGACATAATGGAGGGAATATCGACTTGCTAAACTTTCGACGTCGTATTGCAAACTATATTATCGATTGTAATAAACAACGCGAAAGGCCAGGTCCTAGTCGACCATCTTCAATAACATCAGACTCTCGATACGACGGCAAAGAACACTATGTCAGCAAGCAGGAAAAGAGGACCAGGTGTGGCCTATGCCACAAACAATGTCCTACAAGATGTGTCAAGTGCAATATCGGTGTCCACGTAGAGTGCTTTATTATGTATCACACCAAAAAGTAAATAAAATCTAATTAGTAAAATCATGTCTTTTTTTGCATACATATAGTCCTACTGTACCATATGTGGTACGTCCCTTCAGTCGCCCCCCCTCTTATTAATTTTTTTTTTAAATATTTTTCCCCCGGTTTTTAGGCTTTCTTGGATCAGGTTTTGTTAATGAAACATGAATTTTTCACAAAAATAATTATCGGTCTAAATGGGTTAAACATGCAAATAAACTTAAATTTAATGGTATTTCCTTTCCAGTTAAAATTTCTGACATAGCAAATGTAGAGAAATTAAATGATATTAGTATTAATGTTTTTGGGTTAGAATATAATAAAGAAAAGCGATGTAATTCTATAGTAGGTCCATTATTTTTAACAAAGTGTCGTAAAGATAGACATATCAATTTATTATTTTTTTCCAAGGATACAAAAAATCATTATTGTTACATAAAAAATTTATCGCGGTTAGTTAGTAAACAAATTTCAAAAGACGGTCACATCATGTACATTTGCGAAGCATGTCTACTTCACTTTCCATCTAAGGAAAGTTTAAATAACCATGAACAATACGATTGTGCCCACATTTGTACAGAATTACCAAACAGTGAAACTTTTAAAAAAAAAGAATTGATTTGGTCAACCTATTTCAAATGATAAAATTAAATTTGATAGTTATGAAAAAAAAGTTGAAGATACCATTCGTAGTTTATGCTGATTTTGAAGCATTTTTAAAATCATGTTCTAACGATCCTTCCAAACCTTTCACACACAATATTCAGAAACATGAAGTACATAGTTTTGGTTATTATATAAAATGTTCATATGATGATAAATTATCAAAATATGTAACGTATTGCGGACCCAACTGCGCACAAGTGTTTATGGAAAGTTTATCTAACAATCTCAAAGAAATAAATAGACTTCAAAAATATCCTCCAGTTCCGCTAACAAATGAAGACAAAAACCAAATTTCAAATGCAACCATTTGTCATATTTGTGAAACAGAGTTAGCAGAACATTTTTATGATTTTGATTGGTACACCGGTAGTTTTATAGGTGTTGCTCACGAATCATGTAGCTCGAAGTTCAGGAAACCTCGTTATATATCAATATTTTTACACAACCTTAGTCACTATGATGCTCATTTTATTGTTCACGCGTAAAACTTTTGTGATGGTGAAGTCGAAGTTATCCCTCAAAATAAAGAAAAATATATATCCTTTTCCAAAAAATTAAAAATGAATAACCACGAAATTATATTAAGATTCATAGATTCATTTAAGTTTTTATCATGTAAATTAGAAGAATTGGCCAAAAATCTCAGTAATGATCAATTTCAAGAATTACGTAGAAATTATCCTAATGATGAAGATTTCTTTCGTTTAAAACGGAAAGGCGTTTATCCATATGAACTTATGACTAATTATGATAGTTTAAGCCTAACATCGCTCCCCGAACAAAAATTTTTTTTAATGATTTCTTATATTTACGCGAACATTGCACATGATTAAAACTACTTTTACGGATTTTGTCGCGTTTATTTTTACTTTTTATTTTTAATTCCCGACGTTTCGGGCGCTTTCCAGCACCCATGGTCACGGGGGGACTGAGATGACTGACTTCCCGATGTCATTGTTAAACCCGGAGTACCTTCAGCTTTTTTAATTATTGTTTATGGTCCGATCTATGCAAAATGAACTGACTATGTCCTGAGGTCTTGCAGTGGTATGCTTGGGTTTAGTTTTAATTTTATTGATTATAGGATCCCAAGCAGGTGGTAGTACCCAGCCTCCTTCTCTATTGAAATTAGGATGTTTTTTAATTTCAATAGCCTCACGTATCATCCTTGGTAGGAATCGGTGTTCTTTCGCGAGGATTTGTGGTCTATCAAATCTGATGTAATGGTTGGGGCCGTCTAGGATATGATCACAAACTGCAGACTTCCCGGAACGTTGATGCTTCACATCAGCTATATGTTCTTTTACGCGGGTCCTAATTGATCTTTTGGTTTGTCCTATATAAGAGAGACCACATTCACAATCAAGCTTGTACACTCCTGCATCTTGTAGAGGAATATGACACTTGACGGATGGTAGGAACTGACTAATCTTCTTCGGCGGCTTGTAGAATGTTCTAATAGAAGCTCGCTTCAAGATATAGCCAATCTTGTCTGTGACACCTCTGACATATGGTAGTACAGCAGGCACACGCTCGACTGGCTTCACTAGGTCACTGTGACGTAGGCGCGGGACCCGAAGCTTGTTGTCGTGCAGAACTTGCTTGACGTGCTGAAGCTCGGCGGCCAGGTGTTTGCTGTTACAGATCCCTCGTGCTCTCTGTAACAAAGATTTGCCCACGGTAGCTAACTGTGAAGGATGGTGGTGAGATTCACCGTTTAAATATCGGTTTGTATGGGTCTTTTTCCTATACACAGTGTGACCAATGGTGTTATTAGGATTTCGGATAACTAACACATCTAGGAAAGGTAAGGAATTATTTGCCTCTAACTCCATAGTAAATTGAATTTTAGTGTTTATGGAATTAAGATGTTCTAAAAATGCAGTTACTTTGTCTGATGGTAAAATTGTGAAAGTATCGTCTACGTACCGCTTGTAGATCCTTGGTGTAACAGGTGCAGTAAGGAGGGCTTTCTCCTCAAAGTCTTCCATGAATATATCGGCGACAATGGGAGATACAGGTGAGCCCATCGCCACACCATCTACTTGCTTGTAAAACTCTTCCTTCCACAATAGATAGCCAGATGTAAGGCAATGTCTTAGTAATACTGCATATTCTGCTGGCATGTTATTTTTTTATAGTTCTCTCACAGATTCCCATATTTCAAATGATGATTACAATCATGCTAAAGATGTTTGGGAACACTTTGGGTGTTTTAATATGCTAGATTATTCAAACCTGTATTTAAAAACAGACGTTTTACTTTTAACCTATGTATTTGAAAACTTTAGAAAGTTATGTATTAATTAATACTTATGATTTAGACCCTGCCCATTATTACACAGCACCCGGTTTAAGTTGGGATGCAATGTTAAAATATACAAAAATAGAATTAGAACTTTTAACAGATTATTAGAAAATTGCATTTATTAGATCAGGTATCAGGGGTGGTGTATCTCAATGTAGTAATCGTTATGCTAGAGCTAATAACAAATATATGGGGGATTATGATGCAGGGAAACCAAATTCATATATCACATATTTTGATGCCAACAATTTATATGGTTGGGCTATGTCTCAATGTCTTCCTACTGGTGGATTCGAATGGGTAAATCCGAATACAGAATTTAATGTGTCTGAGACATCGAACTTCGGTTTTATTTTAGAAGTTGGTTTGGAATATCCAGATGAACTTCATGATTTACATTCGGACTTTCCTTTATGCCCCGAAAACATTTGTGCAGGCAATATTAATGAAAATAAACTAGTCCCAAATTTAAATAATAAAGATAAATATGTAATTCATTACAGAAATTTAAAGCAGTGCATAGAAATGGGGGTTAAATTAACTAAAATTCATAGAGTTTTAAAATTTAAACAGTCTCGCTGGTTGAAGATGTACATAGATCTAAACACAAAATTAAGAACGTTAGCAAAATCAGATTTCGAAAAAGATTTTTATAAATTAATGAATAATTCAGTCTTCGGAAAGACTATGGAGAATGTTGAAAAAAAGGGTTAACATAAAATTAGTTACACACTGGGAGAACCAGGGCAAAGCTTTAGGTGCTCAAGATCTAATCGCTAAACCACAATTTCATAGTCTTTCAGTATTTTCGGAAAACCTAGTTGCGGTTCAGTTGCGAAAAACAAAGTTAATATATAACAAACCAATTTATTTAGGGTTTTGCATTTTAGATATTTCAAAAACATTAATGTATGATTTTCATTATAACTATATGGTTAAAAAGTTTAGTAAAATCAAATTATTGTATACAGATACGGATAGTTTAATATATCATATATTTACAGATGATTTTTACTCTGATATAAAACCTGACCTTTCATCATACTTTGATACCTCAGCTTATGAAGCAAATAATATTTTTGAATATCCAAAATTAAATAAAAAGAAATTAGGTTTTTTTAAAGATGAAAATAATGGTAAAATCATGAAAGAATTTGTGGGTTTACGATCCAAAATGTACGCTTTTAACTTAGAGAATAAGACTATAGCCAAGGCAAAAAGGGGTAAATAAATGTATCACTAAAAAGATGACCATGGATAATTATAAGTCTTCTCTATTTAATAAAAAAGTGCAATATTATAGTATGCTTAGATTTAAATCAATTAAACACACAATTTT